TCATCATCATCATCATCATCATCATCATCATCATCATCATCATCATCCACCACGGCTACTGGTAATAGGATGGACCCAATAAGTAATTCTTACAGGCCAAATAAGACCTTCCGGATGGACGCCAACCAGCAGTCACAAGACGTTCCTGATGGGTTCAGCTCAGTTCCTCTCTTTTTGAGCATTCCTCGGCCCTTTGAGGAACGTGATGAACTTCCACACGCTTCGCCCGCGACTGCCAGCGATTACTCCCTTGGAATCTCAGCGTTTCGGTTTCTTCGATGTCCTGAAGTTCCGGCTGCACAAACCGGTGGGCACACACCAGAATAGCGCGCCTGTTCATATGTTGCCTTTTGTGCTTTTTGCTTCAGTGGGCGTCATCAAGATTGGAAGGAAGGGGTGGCAGTAGTGTATGCACGAGACAGGTTTCGATGTACGAATGGATGTCGAACATCGAGCGGTCCCAAGCATCGAGCAGTCCCAACATCCCGGCACAGTGCAGTTCCATGTCGGCTCCTCGTGCAGTCAGCGTTTTCACGGATAACATCACCTCACCCACCCATTGGACCAACTGAGACTTCCAGGGGCCGATGGAGAAACGTCGTCAGATGTCGTCAGCGGACTCAGGAAGGCTTTGACAACACCCAACTGAACATTTATTCAGCCACCCGCATTCTGATTGGCCATGCGCATGAGCAGAAGTTCAGCTGGCTAGTAGCAGCAGCTTCCAGTGAAGCCTATGCGCAGTTCAAGCTGCAGTACCAGAGGCTTTCCAGAATATGGGGTTTTGGACGGCTGAATGGAAGGTCGAGGTGGATTATGGCATTCCTGCAAAATGGTGAGTTGGTGAGTCACTCGTTTTCCATGAACAAGTGAACACCCCTTGTCATGCATGAAGCCATCAGGATTTGGTACTATCGAAGAAGCCAGCGCCGGCTCTACTACAAAGCCACCTGGAGTGAAGCCTGACAGTGGCGGGCAACCTTTGATTTAAAGTTGAACCTTCTAAAGATTCCGCCACCATTTTGCTTGATTAAAGATGTTCAAAGGCCAAGTTCTCACCTTGGTTCCTTTCTTGGCCTTCTTCCCTTCTTTACCCAACTCAGCCCCCCACAGGACCTCCACCTCGCTCCGCTAGGCGGTCTTCCTCTCCGAGGGCCGCGATGGACACTTGGCCTGGCGCTCACGGAGCTATGTGACGCTGCCGCTGCGCACGCCGGGCGCGTGGCTGTTCGCGGCGGCGGACGGCGGGGTGCAGCTGCGGGAGCATTGGTACCTGCTCGGTGCAGCTTCTCCGGTCAAAAGGGAAGTTGGATGACTGGGCGATTGAGAAGCAAGTTGGTTGATTGGAGTCCAGCCCCTTCAGCTGGAGAGTAGGGGATGAGGCAAGATCATGCAAGAGATGTTTGGAACATAGACAAGCATTGCAGCATTGCCGTGATTTGCAGTCCGTTCCGTCAGCTCAAACGTTGTGGATGACTGGGAAAATTTTCAGCTACTGCGCCTTGTGCATTGCTGTGCAGTTGCTTAATATTTTCCGTGGGATCGCTGGAAATGATGTGCGAAAGACCATGACCGTTATTTGGATGCTCCTAGGTGATGTATGGTGATGTATGGACCATGTACCTCTTCAGGAGGATTGAGTAGGTGACAACCTATCCTAAACTACAGCGCAACAGCTTGAACAGGGATGGTTTGTTGTTCATGCAGTGCCCCGGCACCAGACACCCGACAGACGGAGATGTCACAGAGATGTCTCACTGAGGACGCACAGCTGCGATGGATGTTAATTTACTTCAAAGGTGCAGCACGGAAGGCCGGCATGGCCTACCGCGGCTGTAGCTCAGATGGATTTAGCTGCGTGGTTTTGTGTTGGTTTGCGCATGGGACCAGCATGCCATGATGTGAATGGCCGAGTCCAGGTGTTTCTCGTTTCGATTCGACTTACGGAGGTCGGAGTAGTCAACGTGCTTGCTCTTGGACGATCGAGGCTGTACGGCTTTAGTATGTTGTGTTTTGCCGATGCCCACGAGACCAAAAACGAATCACTGCCTAAGGTATGCTACTCACGCCGGATGGCAAAGTCCCGGGCCGGAGTGCCATGCCCATGATCTCTGAAGCCCTTGCCAAAGCTGAAATGCAGCCGTGACTCCGGCCGCATCCAAAAAGAGAGAGAGAGAGAGAGCGAGAGAGAGTTGGACACATACAGGGGACTCAAGTACGGCTTTCAGGACTGGATACTGGTATTAACGTTTACTTTTAGTCCTTGAAACAACCTAGCAACAGAGTCATGGGGTCCCCGTCTATAGATTCTAACTAAATCTCTCTCTCCCTCTCTGTATATAATATATGTGCATACTTCAGGAGGAAGACAGTTTGGTAGCAACTTCACTTGAGAATCTCATTGACATGACTTCTCTTTCCAAACGGAATTTCGGCGAAGTATATAATGTCCACATATGTCCACCCCGATTTTTTTGTTTTTTTAAACGTTGGGGTGGAAATTGCATAAATTAATCCGCCGAAATTTCACTGTGATTCTACAGTATATATATATATGGTCACGCCCGCCCAGAACCAACCTTTTAACAAAAACACTGGTATTTCCCATACAAAATGCTCATTTTCAGTCTATTTGTTTTGAAGCATTTGTTTGATCAAAAAATTCAGAAGCAAAAAAGGAAACACAACACATGTTAAAAACAAAACAATTGAATCAAAAAACTAAAAAAACAAAAATCGAGTTTTGGTTTTTGGTTTCTCAGAAAACCAAAAACCAAAAAACCAAAAAAAACAGACCCAACAGGCCAGACCCAAAACCAAAAACCAAAAACCAAAATTTTGGTTTTGGTTTTTGTTTTTTCAGAAAACCAAAAACCAAAAAAACAAAAAAATCAGACCCAACAAGGAAAACCAAAAACCAAAATTTGGGTTTTGGTTTTTGGTTTTTCAGAAAACCAAAAACCAAAAAAACAAAAAAAACCATGCCCCTTTTGGTTTTGGTCTGGCCTGTTGGGTCTGTTTTTTTTTGGTTTTTGGTTTTTCAAAAAAACAAAAACCAAAATTTTGGTTTTGGTTTTTGGTTTTGGGTCTGATTTTTTTGTTTTTTTAGTTTTTGGTTTTTGGTTTGGTCCCTGGGGTCTGTATCTTTTTGTTAGTTGGCTTTTGGTTTTTTGCAGGGGGGGTGGCCACATATATAAGTTCATCTTCTTACAAAAGGACACTGCAAAAACCTTCTCTGGTACCCCATCTGCCATACAAAAGGACACTGCAAAAACCGTCTCTGGTACCCCATCTGCTTGCTCCGCTCTGTCTGTCTGAGCAAAAGTCTTCAACACCTGTCTGATCATAACCAGCTTTGACACAGTGCAGATGCAAACAGTGCAGCCAAGCCAGATTTCATTGATTTGACATTGCGCTCATGTTGCCACTTGCTCGTGTGATCATCAAACATAGTTTGCCGCCATTTTAGAAGCTCAAATCAACCGGCATCCGCTGTGGCCTTTTTGACCTTTCTCTCCCTGTCTCTGTGGAAACATGGTGTCAGTCGACCCCTCTAATGTGAGCTTAGAGGCTGCGCTACAGGCAACTAGTGCGATGTCCTTGCGTGACCTGCCCCAGCATGTAGTTGTAGGCCCTCAACCTCCTGGTGCTGTCACCATCACAGATCTCCCCTTGAAGGACTTGGACCCAGAGAGCTCGAACTTGAAGCACTTTGTGGACGTAGTTCTCGACATTCCCGCCGCCGAGGTAGACCTGCCTCAGTTGAAAGCCGTCTTTCGTGACCAGGCATGGCACGACTTGCCTGGATTTATGCAGATGAAGCAACGGCCGACCTTTGAATACAAGACGCAGTTCTTCCTGATGCCACAATCAGACGAGAATTTTTGCCTTTTGAAGCATGTCTACGTCCTCTCCGACAAAGTCAAAGGCTCCTCCATTGCTTTGTTGCTTCAAGGCACAGGCTACGAGATCCAATGGGGAACCTCCAACAAGAAGCTAGTTCATAAGGCCTTTCAATGGATGCTTGAACAGCTGGGAGGGTCGCAGTTTCTGCAGTACTCATCGACTCTTGAACGCAAACCATCAAAGTCATCGGCTCCTGAACCAGAAGAAGCCGGTTGGAATTTCATCGTGGAGCATGGCGAGCTTGACAAGAGCAATTTGAGGCAGCTCCGCTGGATCTACTCCCAGATCAATGACCCTGACTCCCCCATTTGCGAATGGTCCGAGAAGCTGGTGCAGAAAGCGCTCGATAGCTTACAGAATGACACTTGCGTAGCCAAGCTTTGCACCAGGTATGACCTGACCATGAGAGATGTAGAACCAGAGATTCGGGACGTCCTCGAGGTCCTTGTTCCACACTTGCGCAACCATGCTCTATGGCTCTTTGGAGAGCCAGGCAAAGGGAAGACTCCATTAGGCCGCATCGTAGCCATGCTCTTCTCTAGGTTCCATGGTGGAGAAGGCTTGTACCGGTCTACGTGTGATTTGGACTTCTTTCGTGGCATCCAATTCAGTAAATGCATCCCAGCTTTGTATGATGATGGAGACATTGGAGGTGAATCTGTGAAGAAGAAGAAGGCTTTTTGTGATGTGGCCGATGATGAGACAATGACCCGTGAAAGATGGACAAATGGAAAATTTGTCCGCAATCAACTCCGCATTGTGCTGGACAATGCCTACAACCCTGAAGCAGAACGTGCGGATGATCATACTGATGCGGCTCTCACCATCAAGCATGAGGACTTCTACAAGATGATCCGCCCAGCCTTGGGGAACATTGCTGTGACAGATGGCATGGCTATCCTCAAACGCAGTGCCTTCATCGTCTTCTCCAAAAGCTTCGTGTACTTCCGCCTGCCTTCACAGGAGCCCATCGATGTGCAGAGGATTCCCTGGAAGAAGCTTGACATTCTCTTAGACTCCTCAAAGCCCACGCTCAAGAATTTCCTGGAGGGTGGTGCTCCTCCTGGAAACTATGATTCTGAAACCCAGTGGGAGCAAGCAGCTTGTCTGACTTTCTGGTTTCATAGGTGCTGTTTGCAAACCCATTCGAGACCATGCTGACAAACAAAATGTTTAGGTATGTTTGAACTTATGGTCCGCAAATTGCACCCTCTGCAACTTAAAAACATTTCCATCGCATCCAAACAGTTTGTTTTATTGGTTCCTTCTCTTGCTTGTCGTCAGGCATGGTTGCACGAAGCTATCCGGAAGGCTAACATCAAGACTTCGGCTAAGGCATGGACACAAGCCCGTGCTGCCAAGGAAGCTGCCATGCAGTGTATGCCCCCTGTGAAGAAGGAGCCAGCTCGAGAATGCCGCAGGGACCCTGTGGATGTCGATACTGTCATGGCTGGACCAATTGGAATGTCAAGAAAGAGCCCGTGAACAAGTTCTTGCATTTGAAGGCCATCTCTGAGGAAATCATTGACTTGGATTCTCCTTCTCCTTGTGGACGCAAACGCAAAGCCACTTGCATCGATGACCAGCTTCCATCCGTTCCTACACGTCCTACTCCCAACCCTGACAATCATGCGCTCGGTTTGCCTGACGATGTGGAGCCTGACTCTTTGGAAGCTGCCTTGTCGCACCAGATGAACGTTTGGATGGACCAGGATGACATGGAACATGTGGGTTTCCCTGCAATTGGCGAAGCGCCTGACCAAGATGATGATTTGTGAGTGTCATGCTCTACTTTGGCTGGGAGCAAGTCTGAGGGTATGAGTTATTAACGGCTGAAGATTGCGCGCGAGATGCGAGAAAATTACGCTTAGCATTTGCATCTGTTTCATGTCATTTCCGCCTAGATTGCATATCGCTTTGTCTGTTCTTGTCATTCATCAGCATGATAAGCAACATTCTTGTGGTTTTCCTTCTTGTAGCCATTTGTTATCCCTGGTCTGCGGCAGTTAGTAAGATCGCATTAGCTGCATTAGCTGCTTTGTTGGCAACTAAGCATGCCAAAGCTTCCGATGAAATATCGGAACCCATGGCCCGTACCCAAACGAGGTAAGGCTCGGTCCAACATGAAAAGGCCTGCCGCGGCTGCTTTCTCACCTATGAAGTCCAAGCCGATCCCATATGTCCGCTTTGGGGGTGTGAAAAAGAATTTTCACAAGGACAGGGTCAAGTTTGGAGTTTCAGTGCACAGCCTCATTGCCATGACCCCGCGCCAACTCATTCGCAAGTTGACAAAAGATGGTCTTCTGCCTTCTTGGCAAGGCTCAACATGTCCTCACTGTGGCGGAGGAAGTTTGGGTAAGTTGCACTTCTTCAAGGACAAACAAGTGTGGGTTCACCGATGCACTAAGAAACGCTGCATGAAGCGTGTCCAACCCCATGACTTCCACGCCATCTTCTACCATGGCTCGGGCAACAGCTACACTCCTCTTGGTCATCAAGTTGCTACTTTGCGCTGTGCTTTGGCCGGTGTGCCGATAACTTCAGTTCCAACGATTTTGGACATGGACCACAAATCCGTCAACCATATCTACCAGAACTTGGAATGTGTTCGGGCTCGGCATGTGCAGATGAAGCAGAAGACCATCGACTATGGCGCCCTACACAAGTGGAATGATGTCGAGGCGGATGAGGTCGATTTGGGGAAGGAACTTCTTGAGGACAAGAAGACTGTGAAGTGGGAGCAATGGGGAGGGATCGTTGAGAGAGGGCAACCACACACCTTGGCTTTGTTTCGCTTGCATCCAAAGATGACAAAGGCCAGAGCACCTGGCCCTGGTCCGATCCAAAAGAGTGATTGGACACCCATTGCTACGAGATTTTTGAAGAACAAGCAAGTGATTCTACACACAGATGGTGCCCGCACATACAAACTTCATGTGCCAGGTGTGTTGCGTGACAACGTTGTGCACAAGAAAAAGAGGGTTCTCGTCCAGGGCAAGTACACTTGGGTCAAGCCTCACTACACCAAAGTCACATCCCATACTTTGTGCCGAATGGTCGACAGGTGAAGACAAAGGCTGGCACTCAGATCATTGGTCGCTTTTGGGGCCACTTGCGGACCTACATGAAGAACACTCCGAGGAAAGTTGGCTCCAGCACTTTGGCGCGCAAGGTTCGTGCGGCACAATGGACCTTTTGGCATCGCACGCACAATTTATGGAGTGCAACTGCGAATATGCTGAGGGATCTCCAGGATATTGCATAGGCATGCCATGGACACCTAGTGTCAGCCTCATTGCCAGCGTGTGAAAAAAGTGCATCTGTGTGCCTGCAAATACTTGTGGCTTTGCATATTGAAATCCCAAGGTCTATGTCCTCCTGTCAAGCAAGTATCTGTAATGGACATTCATGTTTCCTGCCATGGCTCTTCAATGTTCACAAAGGAAACGCTACTGGCAATCATGATCTCTCCTGCATTCACAAAAGCATGCTTCTGAACTTGTTGTCTGCCACTTTGTCTGTGTCTGGCAACAAGCATTTATCAAGCAATTGTCTGTGATGCAGTGATGCACATCAATGTTTCCTGGTATGCTTCTGCAGTGCATCCTGTCCTGTCCTGCATTCACCAAAGCCTGTTTCTGAACTGTATAGATGGCACTCTCTTTGGCAGAAGAGGTTGTAAGATACTGTAACCTTTTTTTGAAAACACAACATCTTGAGTTGGAATCCTTCGCACAGGTTTGCTTTTTTGGCTGAAAAGGTTGGTTCTGGGGGGGGGCGTGAGCATATATATATGTATATATATATATATGTGGATTCTAAGGGGAAAGAGTTGCAGGCTGTTGGCAATGTAATCACAGGCTTGTTGTCAACTTTTGTCCTGATTGTGTATATATATATACATTTTCATATAGAGAGGGGAAATCCGTGTCTTTTTGCACATGTTGCTTGCGTCGCCTTTGTTTCCATGCCCAGAACCAATGTACCCTTCTGATCAATCGAGGGGGAACATGACCCCCCTTTGAGACGTTCATGTTTCCTGAGAAGGTCTATGTCGCCTGATTCCTGAGCAGAATCAAGAGTTCTCAATCAAATGGACTCAGGACATTCCACAATTGAAGTGCACGGTTTGTTTGTGAACCCATGACCCATCGATCTGCACTCTCGTTTTGTTGAATAGGATTCCGGCCCTCCCAGAAATGGATTTCCATTGTTCGCTCCTGGATTCCCTGTGGCCAACTTTGCCCTGTTGGGATCCCCATTCGGTGCCAAGTTCACCACGGGGCGACGCGCTCGGGCGACTGAGGTGGGAGCTGAGGCCAGTGGACAACGAGGTGAACCACACCGCTGGGCCGCCACCCCTGGATGTGCCTGCATGACCGGCGCGACCAGCCACGTAGGCCGCGCGACGCGCGTCGGTGGTTCGGTCAGTGGGGTCTTGCGGAAGTGATGAAAACACGGAATGGGCAAAGCTTGAGGTCAGTGGCCATTTTGCATCAGCTTGGCCAGCTTCACGAGAATTGGGACTTCCACTCACTCCACTCACTCCACTCACCTCACCTCACCTCACCTCAC